GCTGTCGGAGCTGCAGGCTTATACTAATGGCAAGAAGTATCAGCGGCTGATAAAGACAGCCAGGGAGTTTGACTATGGCAAGTTTGAGCCCCATATAGTGCCCAGCACAAAGAATCTGTATGTATTCTTCCTCTTGTGTGTTATGCTTCACACTTCGTTCAATTTCAAACATAAAGCGGTCGAGCTTTACAAAGTTCTTGAGTGTTTTTGGGTTTTGGGAGTCTGGGAAATTCTTTATAAAGTATTTATCAACTTTGAGCGCAGTGCTTATAAGTGGAAAGTTATTAAGTAATAGCATACTTAAACTCTATTGCTGGTTCTTTCTGTCTGTCTTCTGTCTTTCTTTCTCTGTCAGACACCAGCTGTTTTGCAAGCTCACTCTCAGACACATCAACAAGTTCCCAGAGCACGTGCTGCGCCATGTCCAAGGGAAGCGCTACCAGAAGGCCCTAAAAACATGTAAGTAGCTTTTCTGCAGATGTAACCAGACAGCTTTTTTCCCTGAGCTGCTGAGATTCCAGTAGCTCTACATGAAGGAAGGGGATTGACAGTCATGTATTGTTGTTGCTGTGTGTGCTCCTTAGCTAGGACAGAAGATCCCAGGTACAGGGAGCAATGGGCCTCCAGCAAATACCTTGGAACATCCTTACTTCCCCAGAGAGGGTGGCTCACACATCCAGCACAGTCTCTGTGGTCCATAGTATCGCTGTAGATTACGTGAATGTATATTAGAGTTAGAGCTCAACATACTTTTGGGTTGCATTTAATATAAGCTGGAGCTGGAAATGAAGAGGACTTGGGTAGCCTTGCTAAGTGCCACCCGACCCCTCGCACTATTAGATGAGGAGTGCCAGAAGGAAGGAGTGGAGTACGTCCCGGCTTGCTTGCGGCAGAAGAAGCAGCGGACGCAGCATGCTGATGACCAGATGAACGGGAGTGGGCAGCCTTACAGAAAAGAGGAATTCTGGGAGCCAAAGTCCAGCGATGAGGATGGAGAGGAGACGGATGACAGCATGAGTGACCTGTATCCACGTGAGTAAGAATGTTGGTATCATCTACATCCTAAAGGGAGTTTGTTGGCTAATTTTCTCCCAGCTTCTTTATACTGCTCCTTGCTGCTCGCTTGCCGGAGGCCTGTGACTTCCAGCCAGTTGGAGGTTCTTGAGTTTTGGAAAAGCTTACCACCGCCAAGTAAGAAATGGCAGTTATCAGTAAAGTGATGACTGGAGTTGGATCACAGAAGGTGTGAGGGGAGGGATACAAGATCCACAGGGATTTGCTGTTACAGGTGTCTCTACAGCAAGCACTGCTGTCTGCTGAGGGTTGGTCAGGCCATTCTGCTGACTGGAGACACTGCTGTGCCATGGGAGAGCGGACACAGACCTGCCTGTGCTGAATGGTTCCCAGAAGGGGGCTAGTGAGAGCACCGTGACACGGGTGTGTTTATTTCCCAAGTATTTCGGTAGTGACATGTATACGCTTGGGGTCTGGAAGTGGCTTGGCAAATCACCCTTAAGAAGCTCTCAAAAAAAAAGTTAGGAGGAGGCAGAGCCGGTGTGCACAGGGAACCAATTCTGAACTAAATCTTTGTATTTTAGCTGCACTCTTCCCAGAAAAAAGCCCGGCAGCTCCACAAACCACGAAGGGCAGCGATGAATTTGCAACAGATAGTGAGGATGACGGGGCCAAGCAGAACGGTGATGTGAATGGAAGGGACGGCGGAAGAACCAATGTCAGCAGAGCAGCTGGCACCAAAAGGGGAAAGGTGGGAGTCACACTGCTGTGTGCAGCAGCAGGGGAGCGTGGACCTGTCATCCCACCCTGTAGGTGTTTGTCTGATCTATTCCTGTCTGAGAACCAGCAGAAGGTGCAGAGCTGTTTGGGAGAACAGACTTTCCCCACAGGCCAGCCACTGACTTGCATCCTGAGGCACGAGTAAATGTCTCACCTCTGGTGGGACCCTGCTGCACACCATCTTCACAGGGAGACAAGTGTGTCTTGTGGTTCTGTAATCTTCCTCCCTGTCTCCTGTCCCCCCCCCAACACTAGTTAAACCCTTTTGAGGTCACAGGGTCCTTGCAGACCCCTTTTTCTGCCTGGAGGAGCTGGCCAGGTCCCACCATACAGGACGTACCCTGGTCCTTCTCAGCTTGGGAAGCAGGCAGGTGTTACATACCTAAAGACAGACAAACTTGTAACTCTAAGGCAGCCCCCGAGGAAGGGGCTGGATCCTTTGTAACCCTATCAAACCGGAAAGCAAAGGCTGGATGAGGTTTACACTCGTTTCTGAGGAGACTCTTGCTGTTTGTATCTAACAAAACTCCTGTGCCTGTCAGAGAAAGGGATGCTGAATTGCAGGATCAGAGAGATCCTGGCTGGCTCCATGACCAGGGCTGTGCTAGTTCTGTCCCCGTGGGTAAAGGAGACAGCTTAAAGAGAGAGTGCAGTCTGGGCAGGACTGCATTTGGGGTTTGGAAATAAACTAACTAACTCTTTTTCTCTGCAGAAACAGACAGGCCCTTTAAAGAAGAAATTCAAGAGTCATCATCGAAAACCCAAGAACTTCAAGAAAGCAACTAACAGCAAATAAATTTATCATAATACATGGCCTGAAGCCTGTTGTATAACAATTCTAGAGGGTGCACAAGACTGACTGAAGTGTTTGCCCATTCCACTTAACCATTGCAGCTGGAGAGTGGAATAGCAGGGTGCAATTAAGTTGTATTCTGACAGCCTCAAGCCACCCTGCACCAAGGGAAGGACAAACACAGCAGCCAAATACAGGCAGCCCCATGCTCAGCCCTCTCTATGGAAAGATGGTCTTAACAGGCAGGAGAGAAAGCACCCCGGCACTAACCAGCACTTCAGGTGTCCTCTCCATGGAGTGTCACCAGTCACACACGCCAAGTGGATACAAAGATGCCATTGTTTTATTTTGATTGTTTCCAAAAATCAAAACATTTTCAAACACAACTAAGGTACAAAATACAGCATAAAATGAGAATTTATACTTATTTCTTTTTTTCCACATAGAAAGCAAAAATATATTCAGAATGAATTCCAGAACACTTTGCAGATCCAATTGATAGCTGACATCCTGCTTGTGATGCTCCTCAGCCACAGGGAGAGGTCACTGTATTTTTGGGAGATGCATGAATACAGCAGTGTATGTAGGAAACCAGAATCTTCTGCATCAGGACTCACAGTTAGTAAGCCTGCATATTGCGCTGCCTAGAAATATCTTACAATGCCCTCCACCTAACTGTGCCCCTTCATTACCGAATATTTCTGCTGCAAGGGACAGTATTGGTTCCTTTTCTGGGGTCTTTTGTTGGAAAGGGGACTTGATTTTCACAGAGGAAACTCATCAATATTTTAGACTAGTCCATCATCCAGTTCCTTAGTTAGGACACAAAGAAGTTGAGAAAGCCAGCTTAAGGGCTACTTACAGGAGTTGTTTCTATCATTGCATTTATAAATACTATGAACATCAACAGCAGTTAAGCTATCTGAGAATAGCTGCCTGGATGTAGTCTAAAACCATTCTGGGACCTGCAGTGAAACTGAGGAAGACCATCCTGTGCTGCATATCCAGAACTGAAAGGACCACTTTGTTTTGCTCTGAAGACAGGCACAGTGAACACTGAGGTGAAAACTCTTGCAATACCCCTTTAAAAGCAAGCTTTCTGTGTGACCTGAATCAAAATGCTGGCTTCCCCTCCCATCTACCCCCACATACCAATCTGTTTCCTTCAGCAGCAGCACATCTTGCTATTACATAGGCTATTTTCCCCTTAAGATGACAAAAATCACTGGTTTAATATTCAACAGTGCTCTTCTGTTTGTCATCAGTTCTTTCAGCCTAGTTTCCCCCCCCCTAAAATGCAACTGTTGAGCTGAACTGTCCAGGTTCGTATCCTTTCCAGGAGACCCTGGTGTTCAGCTGAATTATTCCTTGAACAAACAGTTGAGCAGCTTTCTCAAGGCAGAGACCAGTGCAATACGTGTAACATTACCAGTGGTAGGGCTTATGCTTTCTAGAATTCTTTCATAATCTAGTGAAACAGGTCCACCTAGTTTACTAGCAGAGGACAAAACACCTCCTCCAAGCAGCACTAAACATGTTCATGGCACAGAGGTTGTGGCACAGAGTGAAAACAGGGCCTTCCTCTCCTCATGATGCTGAGGAGTTCCTCCCTCTAGAACACACAAGTTACATCCCTGGCTGCTTAGTCACTGCACAGGCTTTGCACTTGCATTCTTCAGCTATAACCGTTTGCATAGAGACCTGGGGCAATGGCAGCACACCACTGACTGTCACTTTTCCTCCCTACGCATCTCAGGGTGGTCCAAGATGGCAGCGAGAAGGGGCTGTACTCAGGAGTTCAGCACCCCGGCTCTCCTGCTGCTCAGTCAGCTGGGACCTGAACAGCTGAGAGAGCAACAGAAGTGACACTAAGAAGCAAAGACTACGGATTAGAAGACTGACCGCTCTCATCTTGCATGTACTGAATGCGGGAAAAAGGGGAGGTTCTGTAATTCTGAAGACACTTTCACTGATAACCTGCAATTCTGATATGAATTTGGGGCATATATGGAGGGAAGCTGGTTAATAACAGAAAGGAGCTTTTATTATGGAACCTGCAGCACAACTTGGCTCCCTTCTTGGGAATTCAGGAGGGGCAACTTTGGGGAAAGAATGCTGAATAAAGAGTTCTTTTGGCACAGAATTTTAACAGAATCTAACATTCTGTCTCTTCAGGAGTATCTCCTCCCCTTCCTTCCTGAAATCTAATTAGCTGTACAGGATTCCTGATTAGCAAGTCGGGATTCTCCCTTGTTCCCCTCAAGAGCAGGACTGGGACATGTTAGAAACTCCTCTCCCTTTTCTTACCTAGAGCAGGGTACAACTATTTCCAGGGTTTTCTTTTTGCCTTTTATTTGGGGGCAGGATATACCTCCCCTCTTGTTAAACAAAATGGAATTACAGGCCTCTGAGCAGCAAAATAACAAGTGATTTTTTTTTTTAATGCTGCTTTCCACCTTGATAAGCAATGCTATAACCAGCAATGGAACTCCTTATGCACAAGACAGTTTTGATGAGGGTGAGAAAGGGGATCCACTTTTTTAGTTATAGCTAGAACCCAACAGCACACTGAATGATACAGCTGTATCTGCTCACAGTACTTCAAATTTTAAAACATTGCTGAAATTAAAGACAGCAACTGTACTACTGCAACTCACTGAAGCATCAGTGAAATGCAGGTTCCTTGGGTTAGTTCCAAATCTAGGAAGTTAGAATAAGCCTAGGCAACATTCCTTGAAGAAATAGGATTTTATCTATTATATTACTGGTGCCACTGTAAATCAAATTCAAAACATCTGTGCCTTTAATAGGAAGGGGGCATGTACGTGTAAAATGCTGGCAGTTTTTGTTGAATCCATAGAGAATCAGTTCTGGGCTTAATATGTTATGTCCCAAGAAGTGTTGCCATTCCTGTTACCACTCTTTTTTCTTCTCATCCATGGAGACTCCACCAGGGCCCAGTGCAACAACAAGGAGCAGCCCTCCAATTACAGACATGGTCTGGAAGAAGTCGTATTTGAGGAAGTCGTGCATGGGCTTGTAGGCTGGGACGGTCCAGAAGGCATTGAAGTAGATGTTGATGCCAAACAGCCAGATGACTAGAGTCAAGGCAGCCAGCTTAGTCTTGAAGCCAATTGCCACCAAGATAATCAGGGCCGTGCCCACAATGTTCTGCAGAATCTGCAAGGAAAACCACCACAAGCTTACATATGGTTCTTAAATAGACACAGACATCAGAACAGAGCATGGAGAAGTTCAGCAGAACAGGTTGTCAAGGCATCAGTGATTTAGTAACTTTTCCAAGTATTCATTCTACTAAAAATAGATTTAAATGATAAGCATCAAGTAGGTCCTGCAGCCAATCTGGGAGTTAGTACTATATTCTAGTTCCTTAACTCATACTTTTATACTCAGATACTTACAGAAAAGAAGTTCATATCAAAATGTAGCAGTGTCATGAACATGAGGACCAGCAGCACACGGCCCCCCAGCTGCATGTACTGTTTAGGAGAGCTTTCCCGCATCGTAGGGACACCAGCAAACATGCTCTTCCCCTCTGAGCGCGACTCAGCCAAAAGCAGCAGCAAGCCTCCCCCAAGGGCAAGGTTCCTACAGAAAGACACAAATGTGAGGGGGGGAAGCCATTTACTACAGTTTGCACTGATTTATAGATTTGAAGTCTTATCTGACAATTTCAGCTCACTAAGAACCTGCATGCTAGTGAGGAGTGACCTACCCTGCACCTTGTGATGTGTGTCTGTATTAGGCTTCACAAGTGAAGCAGCAGCATTGTACACAAGGGTTTAACACAAGCCTGTGTAGACGTGTACAGCCTGCCAGAGAAGTCCAGCACCCACAGCTCAGGCACAGTTGCTTAGCATCGGTTACAGCATGAATTTAGGTATGTTGAAGTTATTCTGTACCTCAGATTTAGCCATATATGCCAAAGTAGTTCAGAAGTTGCTTTAAGAAAACAGAAGAGCAGTACTGCTAAAAGAAGTTTCATATTTACAGGGTTGTAGTAAGCCCAGGGTATAGTTCTTGTGCTGCCCCTGCCCTCCCCTCAGAAGAGGGAGGTGAAAAGGTAACAGCCAGCCATCACTCAGGCTTTGACAAGAAAGCTCACGTTTAAGAGCTCTCTCTTCTAAAACCTTCTCTAAGTAGACTTAAAATGCCAGAAGCCACTCTAATATCTACATGCTTTCATTTTCTCAGAAAATGGCTTCAGTCGTGCATAAACACAGTTGCTGTTTTAGCCACTTAGGAAATAAGAGCAGCTCACTGACCCAGCCTAGACAGTTGTTTGTGAGCTCTCAGCAAGGAGTTTAGTAGCAGAAGCACTTAGATCCTAGTGGGTCAGGATTAGTCTCTCCTTTCTACAGTACTGAGCCTGCTGTCTATGGTTTAACACAGGCTGTACTGATTTTTAAGTGCTGCCATTTCTTGTTTAATGTAAATGGATAATTTGTAAAATCTTACTAGTAAATACTATGTACAAAGAATATTTCCTCTGTCAGCAAGTGGCAGCAACAGACAACAGTTTTCATTCTGTTTTGATAAAAACATTAAGAAGTAGACATACCTCATCAAGAACTTCAGGTCCCATAGAATGCTGTATGCAATAGTCTAGGCAAAGAAGAAGAGAGGTTAAAATACCATGTAAATTACACTGAAGTTCTAAAATTATGTTACAATCTCAAGCCTGTACTATCCATAGCAGAAATAAATTAAAAGTATGTTATACTGAAGGGAACAAGGCAGGTTACATCACTGTAGTCCAGTGAGTCAGTGTAAAAGAGGAAACAGAAGCCAGAATTTGATTTGTGCCTTGGCCCCACAAAAATTCAGTTTTTAACAGGAAGGATGCTGCTAGCTAGGGTCCTTTGTTATGGGGACAATCCTTTATAAAAGCTGTGTACTGAAGGCCAAAGCAACTGCAAGTTCCACATTTGGCACATTACTGACACACAGGTAAATGACAAGTTACTTCTGCTAAATTGGTCAAGGTCAAGTATTGACTCAACTGCTCCAGCTGACTAATTGCAATTACAGCCAAGGATCTATTGCGCACATCAGAAGAACAGAAACAGCAAAATAGTTCAATGCCATTGAGGACTGGCACTAGGCCAGGGTGGAGAAAAATCCCAAGGTTGCAAGTTGTATTTAAATACCTGTTGGTAACACTGTGGCCAAGAGAGAAGATTTGAAAGATGGAGTTTGGAAGGGCTGAAGACTTAAGCCTCCTACCTGTAATGCTATAATTCCAAACAGTCCAAAGCAGGCATATTGCACAAAGTTCCTACTCAGCACCAGGATACAGCCACCTGAGTTGGGGAAATTGAACACAGTTACACTCCTGGCTTGCACAGGAAGAGATGCTGCAGGAATGCTAACTTGTTGTGAACTGAGCAGACTCTAATTTCTTTCGACTGTGCCACTGAGAATATCAGGTAGGAAACTTCAATGGCTCACTGGCACAAATCAGTTTGAGAACCAAGAAGTCTTAGTGCATTTGAAAATGTTTTCTAGTTCAAGAAGTATCTTTTAATTTACAAAAGGTAAGCACATGCTGAATGCAGTTACCGACACACAGCACGGTACAGCAGCTATCAGTGTTAAAGCATTAAAAGTTAGAAAATCCATAATGAGTTGAGGTGTTGTTTTTTTTAAATGATATAACTGTTAGGGCAAACATGCTGCACTTTTCCTTGAAAGCTTTTATTTTATATCCTCAAGTCTTCCGTCACAAAGCACTGACAGCCTTTGCCATGTTGACATGAGGACTGGTAACTACATTAAGTTAGGCTGACTCTCTACACAAAAATATGAGGGTAAAAAATCTAAACCCAGACCCAAGACAAGAAATTGGCAGAGCAATCAAAAACAGTAGATAAGGAACAGAATATAAACAAAAATATTCTTACTTCTCTATTTCTGACACCCTAAGTCCACCTAGCACACAGAGAAACTCTGCTTCTGGGCATATTTTGATTCTTGGGCTTTGAAAATCTGACACAAACACTCCTCTCAAGCTTAAGTGTACCAACTGCAGGATAAGACTTTGCCATTGAGATTAACACCCATAAAAACAACAAGCTGAGAAAGTCTTAACACTGCCCTATTTAAGAAAAAGAGTATTTCATTTAGAGAATTCGGGGGTGGGGTGGTATGTGTTTACAGACACATGTACAGAATTGAAAACATTGTCCTAATGGACTCTCAGCATCTCCGACTCAGAGGTAGCGAGTTACAAGAAATTCTCTAAGACTACTTCCAGGAAAGGCTGAAGCAGGTCAATTAAGAGTTCTTTTCATTCAGCTCATGTAGTACTATGAGTTGTAGCTGTCAATGGCTATTAAGAAATCAGTGAGGCATCCTATGCTTATGTGATTCACAGTGCTTACGTGAGCCAGAGTGGCAGACACACTGGACTGCCCTGGCATCTACCTTAACAGCCTCAGAGCCACTTACTCAGCTGTCCGAAGAGATTTATGAACACAAAGATGGAGGCCAGGAAATAGCCACAGTTCCACGTGCCGTCAATGTAATCCCTCTGTTCACTCCACTGGAACCACATGCGGATGCCATCCTCCAGGAAGGTGCTGATCAGGCACAGGCGAGCCACATGGGGAAGGTACTGCTTTGTCACCCTCAGGAACTGCATGGGCAGACAGCATTGTTAGCAGGGAAGGCAGGCAAGGCGATACGCAAGACATAACAGCTCCAGGCACTCTGCAGACTCTGAGGTCAGCAGTTCTCTGTGCATACAGGGTCATCAACGTCTAGAGAGAAACACATACTTGGGACTTGGATTTAACTAAATTCTTCTCCACTCCAGTTTGAGAACGCTTGGGAGCAGTGGGGGAAAACCTGTTGTCATGCTGCACCTAAAGAGCATTTTGGACAAGGACGTGGAAAAAAGAAGAATCCAGCAGCACCTTTCTAAACACAGTTCTTATACAGATGGAGCTCTTACTAGATGAAGGCTGACCTTGGTTTTAGTTTGTCTATCTCAGGGTTTCATGTTGCAGCCCAACTATCAGATAGCCAGGAGCTGAAAGGGCAATCCTACTCCCACCCACGTGCTCAGGCACTCAACACCCTGTAACAAACTGATTCAGGGAGTCAGGCTGACAGAAGACTAATTCTGTACAAATTAAAAAAATTAATAAGCTTTCTGCCAAGCTAGTTCCTTCTAAGAGGTCAGAAAAGCAACAGTGCAAAGCATGCATACTCATGTAGCAGCAGCAGCTATTAGATTAGCACAGCCATTACATGCAATCGCACCCTCTATCCTCTATGCAAGTATACACAGTTTCTACCTCCATTAAAAATAGCATCCCCTGCAGAAAGACAATAGCCATTTATATACAATTCAGTGTAGTAATTAAAAGGAAATTGTATCATCATGCAACAGATACTGAGCTTAGTTCTTGGGAATGCAAGATGTATCTGGTCTCACATAGCCCTTCATCCTGCAAACTCACTGGTTAGTTTACTCAACAATTACAATAATTATAAAGGAACAAAACCAGAATTGTCAAGCAGGGTCTAGACTAGCATGCTCTAGAGGACTGTGAGGTGCACAGGAAAACTTGCTGCCTCTGGATTATGACACATGCTTAACTGTCACCGATTTTCCTAAACAGCACTGGTTATTACTTAATGGAGACCTCCACTAGGATTTGCGTTGTCACTCTGAACACAAGCTAGTACCCGGCTGGCCCATTTCATGCACAGGTTCAACTTCGCCAGATCACTAGAAGGACACATTTGGAGTCAGGGTACACTGCTGTTTGAATACATGCAATCTAGTAAGAAACAAACATGAATTTAATCTAAAACTAACTTTACAAGATTATCCAGAGCAGTTTGGGCAGGTTGACACCTGTCAAAGTAAATGCCCATGCCACAAGCCTTCATGCAGAACTGTCAGACTACACAGATTCCTGCGTTAGAACTAGGAGGAGGAGCCACTTCAAGAAAAACCCCATTATCCCACACAAAGTTCAATGTGTTGTAAGGCACATTGATTCATACAGTTTGTGCAATATTGGAACACTTCAAGCATGAAAAGGGGTGAGGGAACCCACTTATCTATAGGTGTCTTCCAGACAGCATTGAACTACGGTATAAAAACAGACAGAAAAAGCACACAAACTTTTTTCCATAATTCAGTATTTACATTGACTTCAGGTTAGACGACACAGCTGACTGGTTTCTTTCTAGGCAGAAACTTGCATTGCGTACTCTCAGTATGTACTGGAGTGTGGAGAAAGGAGAACGAAGCCATTTCTGACAGTTGATTCTTGCCACGGTAATTAGTAAATACTAAAGGCTGTTCTGGATCCTACACAAAAGACAAGCCTTGCTTACTGTGTAGCTGAAGATTATCACAAGGAAAAAAAATCCAGTAACCATGCTTAATAGTTAATTAAACAGTTAATATTGGACCAAACTACACTAGTTGCACTGCATGCATCCAGAGTCTAAGGGTCAAGATTCAAGTTAATCAAGTGCATTTTAAGTGCAGCTGTACTCTGACTCAGGACTGCCACTTCATGCTTTAAGCCCTGTCAACAGTTGGATGAATGAGTCAGAAGAAATTTGTGATCTTTGTCACTGAATGAGACACACATCTTGGTTTACAGCTTTCTTTCCCAGACTTCACTGTGCATTTGGGTAAACTTGCTGAGGAATACTAAGGATGAAGTTGTTCTGGAAATAGTACAAAACCAAAAATTGGTTTGTAAAGTAAGTCTGCTTTGTCAGGATGCAGAACTGGCAACTGGTCCAGCAGGAAGTGAAAGAGGACAAATGCTGGGCATCTGTAGGAAGAGGGAAAACACACTGCTGTGGAAAGGCTGAAAAAAGAAGCAAATGTTAGAGAGGGTATCTGCCTCCAGGCCTCATCTTTGTTGCTTCTGAAGTGGGTCATGTGAGCTGATCTCATCTTCCCCTTCCCTGAAACTAAACAACTGTCAACAGTCCAGGTGAAGGAGCCAAGAAAGCAGTTAACATTTACCTGTCCTCATGGCATAGAGGGAATTTAACACTATCTATTAAACACGAGTGTGCACATCCAATCAGCTTAAGACAAGTCAGCAAGACTGAAGCCTAAGTCAGCTGCAGAGCTAAGCAACCTTATCACAACACACATCATCTTTGGACATCCATAACTCATGAAGCTGCATTTACTTAGCTACACCAAGTTGAAACCCCTGTACACAGCAAGCTTAAAGTAAAAAAGCTTCAGGAACAGACTGTATGAACAAAAGTCAAAGCTAAAAGAACAACTAGCCGTGGAGATCCAAAGAGAAGGAAGAAGGTGGTTACATGATAACCACAAGAAGAGAACATAACAGACATCAAGTGATTTTATGATTAGAGGATTCAAGTATAAATCACTTAAGTAATTTAGCTAAGGACATACTAACTTAGAAGAAACAAGTAATCTCTACAAGTGAGACTGAACTAATAGTACCAGATACCCTGGGTTTGTCCCCACACATCATCAGCAACATGTGGTTCAAAGGCTGCACCCCGAGACCACTTCCTTTTTGATTCACAGATAAAAGCAGCACATACAGGAAATCTGGTAGCTGCAGTTAATAAACATATCTAGTGAAGACATGGGACTTGAAATGAACACTCCACTAAGCACAATACACACAAGCCAAAACAAAACTGTTGAGATTGATGGAGGTGGCAGTGTTAAACTCATGACATCAAGTAACTGGATGGCTTATTCCACTACGGGCTTTGCATTAACTGTTCTTAGCACATACTGCCTCATTGCAAGAGGCAAAACATCTTGAGAGAAGACAACAAAACACTAAATAAAACTATTTTAAAGAAGAACAGCTGGTTCTGGGTTGGCAGCCAAGTCACTAGCGTACACCAGAGGGGCTTTGCGTTGTCACTTCCCCCTCTAACAGGATCAAAAAAGCAAAGATACATTTAAATGCTCCTCTTAGTTTAACAAGCAAAGATGCACAAGAGGATGCAGGGATACCTAAATCAAATCTCTGCTCACCCCCCCCCTTTTTTTTTTTTAAAGGCAGGCTTGAAATACTCAAACCCATAAAGAGGCCTGCCTAAAGAGAGGTAATAAAATGATTCTGTTTTGACTCTTGTAATGCTTTCTAAAATATATCCCACCTCCAACAGTTCCTAATTTGTTAAAAAACAGTCCATTTTGTTAGAAGTATACATACCATAGCATAATTACAGGTATTTTAAGAACAATACACAGCCAGGAGTTGGGAATTTTTGCTGTCACCTAGTGTATTCTGTCCAAGCACAGAACTCTTTTCTCTGTGTGTGCACATGTGTGTTCTTGCACCAGGGAAGTTACAATCATGGTGATGAACAGCAGTCTGCTAATCCACACAGAAAGCACTCTTGTGGGCTGCACAGCATTATTCGTCTAGAGCTTTTGGCTTATTCCAAGCATCTAGCTTGTATTCATTTAAGGGATTGTTTTGTTCTGGGAGGACAGAGATCTCTAGCACCCTGGGACACCAGTGATCTTGTCTGGCATAGGATGCTCAATCCTCTGGCAGAGAGAAAAATCACATCCTTTCACCAACCTGTATATATCCACTTAAGGAGATCCCACCTAGAAAATCACAAGGACAGCAGCATCCATCACAATGGGCTTAATCTATGTCTACAAATTTTTTGTGAAGACTTTGAGCAGAGGCTTTCCCATTTATTTCGAAAAGGCAAGAAGAGAGCTCTGACCCACTAGAACATTGCCAGCAGTCTTAATCAGGGTTTTAATTGCAGGAAGATTTCTCATGACAATGCTTTTTACTTCTAGTGTGTGCTTTATACCAATTCCTTTTTCCAAAAAGGCTATTGATTAATCAAATCTTTAAAACAGGATTTATTAGTTACGTATTGCATTTTGCTATCTCTCTTCATGGGAAGATTCTTTCCCAGCCTAACCAGAATAAGCTATTTAGCTTATAACGCTAAACCATCAGTGCACTGACAAGACTAACTTACAGAATCCAAAATCAGTTTTTTAAAACACAAAAAAGTTCAGACTAACAATGAAATACTTTCTTCTCCCTTCTATTTTCCACAAAATAGGATATAGAGACATCAGAATTAGCTGAACAACATGCATCAGCATTTACGTTGGAAAATTAAACAAACCCCCCAGAGTCTAGATCTCCCTTGCAGCCCTTTCACTGCAGTACAATGACTCAATAGTCTTCTTGCATTTTTGTCCATAATTTTTCAGAACAGCAGAAATACCAGGCACCCACATTCCTAAAGATTATTACAAACACTAGAAAAGTTGCTCCAGATCTACTCCGTCTTACAGGGATTACAAAGGAGAGACAACCAGTCCTATAACTCTAAACAATCAGTTCAGGCCTCAGATACAGCTATTTTCAGTATGATGTCAGCAGTACATGGTGCCTGCACTGAAGGGCTTGGCATGTAATATTTTAACAAGAACCACTAAAAAAGGGCTTAACTTCTCAGTATGTAAATTATTTAATTAATAACATTGGGCTGGTGTTACACAGCTTAAAAACAGACCAACCCATAAAGCCTGTATTTGGGCATCATTCTGAACAAAGATCCTTATTTCTTTGCACTGTGCATCATAGATTTTAGGAATCCCTAATAGCTTTT